AAGTCATTCGAGCAGGAAATGGAAACTGAATAAGTGTCTATTAATTTGATTTCCAGTGCGTTTAATGGTCTTAATTCTTGCAAATAGTTACAAACCATGCAACGAATATGTAAATATGGCTCGTAATGCGCTAAATTTTGTACATTTTAGAAAATTGTAATGAGAAGATTTCATGTACATTTGGACAAACAGTTTATTTATCACAGTTCTTTTGATTAATTTCGTATAAATGTGCTAAAATTCGAGGGTAAGAAGAATTAAAATAATTTAATCACTTTTACACGCAACATTTCGAAGGGGTTTTATAGGTTAACATGTCACATTGCGATATTTTATGTTTAAAGTAAACCAACCCTTAGACCGAATATGCACATATATTTATTGTTTTGCATTTTTATACCTATGCACAAAGTAAAATGTCAGTTTGTTGTACATTCCTGCTTGTTGATTGTCGTGTATATGACAATTTGTATGTCAAGAAGTATATGTAGCTGTGTCAATACCCCTTAAGTTTTGGTCTAAATAAAAGAGATCATAACATCAACTGGACTATTCCATCTACACCATTGTGTCAGGAATCGATTGTTTCTTTTGTGCGTTGAACATGTACGAAGAATCGAAAACAATTAAGAAGTTTCAGACTACGTATGTGCCATTCATCCCGAAAGCGGATAGTCTTGCCCAGTTGTCCTAACAGAGTGTTACGACAAAAGGGTGTGACGTTAGATTATGGACAAAAGCATATGTGTCCACGCATCATCTTTTATGTAATAAGCCCATGTTTAGGGAATGTCTTTTTCCTTTTTTGGGCACTTTTTTAGGCGGTCAGTGTCTCTTTCTGTGTATGAAACACCATTCGTGATAAGTCCGTCAAATGTGCTTTACACTTGGTTATTGCCATATGTAAGATTTCCCAGGCTGGTGAATTGTATGTTCATAAGTTGCAGAAGGCAATGATTGTGACCGACTAGTGGGGAAAACGTCATAAATGAAAATGACACTTAAAGTATATATTTCCAGCCCTGTGTAATGATTAATCTCATCAATGTAAATATTTATGTTGAATTCATATGGGTTATTTCATCTAAATGATTGCCCCATGTTCACATGCTGATCATATGAAAAGGATGACGACTAATTCGCAGATCTAATTAATCCAGTGAAATAAATGACATGCCAAATTTCCACCATTTTGGAAATAATGCAAACATCAGGAAGTTAGTCGTCTATATTTGAGAACGAAAGACATTGAAAACAGCATGAAAGCGTCTTGGAGGATGTAAAAAATCTCAAATATTCCGCAAATATTAGAATCGTTTAATAGACTTCTTTTCTTTTCTACTCGATAAACACAGGAACGACACAGGAACTGCTGTTTTACTTTATCCTCTAATAAAAGTGTGAATTCTGCAGACTGTCTGACATCAGAAATTCTTCTTATTCGCCACACAATAATAAAAGAAGAAACCTCAAGTCTCACAAATCCACAAGGTTGCATCAGCTTCAGAACCCTGACTTTGGCCAAGTCAAGTCAGGGTTATTGGTGTCAGGGAAATCAGATGCATGAAAATCACTTTTTTTCACAATAGTACAAATAAAGATAGCAACTAACGTTTGATAATTGCAGCGTCACAATTGTGGCAATAAAAAGATTTGTATCTCCAAATCCAACTTGGTTAGCAAATCCATGGTTCAATTGGCAGCCGACATGGTGGCTTTTTACATTTATTTATCTGGGAACAAACCTAAAGCAAGTTCGAGACGGATGGAGACTGTCAATAAAGGATTAATAGGAAATAATCTGTTTTGTTTACACTACGACGACGACAACAACAAACATTATCCAACTACATAAACCATCCACTTGGTATTAGGCGAGAAAAAGGGAAACAACGAATTAGACTTGTTGTTTATGAGCAAGAACAGAGCAATTTATAGGATATCAATTCAATTAGAGTGACTCAGGAGAATTCTCATTTTTTCTCAAAGTGCAGGTTCCTACGTATTTGCGACGTGATTGTAAGAATTGAGAGAGAGAGACTTGACTTTTTGAGTGTCATGTGCAGACTGGGACTTGGTGGAAGGTTAAATTCTCGTAATTGTGCTGTGACAATGTAACCCAAACCACAACTACGTACATGCTTTCGAACATTTGTTTCACAGCCTTGTCTGCCATGTCATGTATAGCCAATCATTCTCCATTAACGCGACATCCTAACTGCTCAAGTGATAAATAATATGAGAGAGAAAGAGGGAGGAAATTATCCAAATTATACCAAAATAAAATTAACCACTGATTTTGTCACAGTTTGTCACCTCTGCAAAATATCCACGACTGGAAGCTATCCTCAATTTGCGCATTGAAATGGACAAATTATGGCATTATTGTTATCCTCGAGTCGTTATAGATAATCAGGGCTTGTGGTGATGCTAACATTGCAGATTGGGACTAATTGATGTGACACGTTACAAGTATGTTCATAAATGTTAAGGTTTATTATCACATATTTTTGGTCGCTTGTTTTTTCGATTTATTTATTGCTGTGCTGCATAGCACAAACGGTCAGGGCTGCAATGTACAATTACTCCTTTTATTTAACCGTAACTCGGCAATTAGTTACGGCCCATTACGTCACTATAATACGGTATTAAAATCGGAAGGGAAAACAAACAAAGGTGTGTTAAATAATACTGTTTGGATTTTAATGACAAATTTATTATGTGTTCGAACTCTGTGCAAATACGTAGCATTGTATTTAAAAAGAAGGCTTCATGCGCTAGGCAATTGACAAGAATGTCAATACTTTTTAATCTTGCCGAGATATTCTTAATACACTTGTGTAACAATATGGCCTTTAAACATGGTTATTATTATGTTAGGCATATGCATTACGTAGCATCATTATTTATGTTTTGTCCCGTTGCTAATTTCACTTGAAGAGTAAAATACGCTCAAAAATTTGTAGGGAAAGTCGCATTTCAATCAAATTCAGGGACGGGAAATTGAGTCGATTTTATGGAAATATGTACCAACCTAAATGCTTCGTGGTTATGAGATGACTCGTAATATGGTTATAAAACCAACATACATACGTCCCACTTCCATTGTCTCTCGTAAAAGCCTCCTTTCTTCTACGTACTCTTCCCCAAAGTCAATTTGTACCCAATATCAGTCGCATGTCTGCATGTATAATAACGAGGAAAATGCATGCATTGTTGATTGTGAATAATGACAATAATTTTTTAATGTGTAACAACAACACACACGTCGCCAGGAGAAGGAGCTAATTGCTTTTGATACGGGATCAAAGTCGATCAATCGAACCTGTCCTGTCAACGCTGTATTGTTTCCCATACTAATTTAGAAGAGTTGAGAAGCGTGGGAGCCAACCCCATCCTTACCGTCGTCGTGTAAATAAAAGCACTGAGGCTGAAGTTTATTTGAGAAAGAAATCCAGAGGGGATGGGAATTGATGAAAATTAAAATTGAATTGGGGTTCCTTGTTGATCTGGCAATCATAAAAAATAATACACCAGGGATCCGCGTAACAATGGCAAGAGCATCCAAACGGTGCCTTTTATTTCCTTCGTCGTCACATACCCATTGAAAAATTAGGGTTTTCGTGCCATAAATATTGAAACATGATTTGTTTTGTCCTCCATCCATTCACAGCAAGACTGGAAAGGTCCACGTGAGCAGGGTCCGATTCTCATTTGCACCGAGAAAGAGAGACGATGTCAGCGGATGATGGGAGGTGGGCGTGTGGTGGTGGATGCGAGGGGAGGTTTTCTATGCCTCAGCTTTAATTAAGCATAATAACTTTTCTTCTTTGTCCATTCCATTTGTCCAACGCCATACTAATCATAATAATCACATTACCTGCGAGTCTCCTCCGCAGCGATAAAATAAATTGAGAAGACTGTTTTTACTAAATTGCTCACCCGGAAATGTTACATTGTTTTCCGTCTCCGTGTTACGTGTGTGTGTGTGATGTAACGTTTATTACTTTTTGCACATGGAAATATGGGATTGATTGTACATTGGATGGGAGAATGATTATTGATTGTAGTGATTATGGAACTCTTTATTACGACGGTAGTTTTAAACGTCAACATAAAATGCGATACAATATTATTTACTTAGGAGACATACATAATTCAATTTCAGTTATTTGCGTGTTTGAAGTTTGGAAGAAAATTGATTCATGAAATGTTACCAACCTGAAGATATTTAAAAAAAAAACATCGTCATGAACATTGACGTCATGTTGGAATGGTATCCACATATTAAACCTGGTTATAAAACCATGAGAAATTTTCATTTAGTTGATTATCTCTGAATAGAAGAGGAGTGTTGAGTGTCGAGTTTCACAATTGGTGAAAATGGTCGCCTATTTTTTATCCCGTGTTAGAAAGCTGCTTCTTGCGGAGAAAACATTTTCGTATTTGCGAGAACAGGAAAGGGAAACCTTGTGGGAGGAAAATAATGCGTCGCGAGTGAGCGTGTGCACGAAGGAGAAAGTCGGGATTGGTTTTCTCCAGAAGCTTCGGAGGTTGTCCCTGCGGACGAGGACAAATCACGATTTTTGAATCCAAAAGTGGGTTAACCAACTTTCATAGTCTTGACTATGACGAGACGATCAATGAGAACGCTTTTAGACATTGTTATGCACTTCGCACCATCGAACCAACGCTTTGGGTTGGGTGAAAGTGAAACAAGAATTCAGACAAGATTTTGGGTGTGCTGTGCTCCTTGTTAAGTAAATTTATTTTGAGTAGTGTCCAATTTTTGGATGGGTTTTGGTAAAGAAGGCGAAGTTTGAGTTTCATAAATTGGAAAAAGTGTGGGATTCGTATGATATTTTAAAGAGTGGTACTGGTGTTATTTTTTTAAAGAATGTGTGATGGCTAGCGACCAAATTTATACGCGTAGGACGATACATTATTATATAACTTTTATTTGAATAAACAGTGATTTAATAAAACGATTTTATTTGCAGCTCGAGAGGATTTTGCAGGACTTGACAATGACGCACTTGATTTTAGCCAGTTGGAAGACTTTATTGCCAATGAAGCAGATGGAAGGTAAATATTTCAGACTATTTTTTCTCTTAATTTCATGTAAAAGATGGAATTATTTATTGTGAATTATTTCAGCTATTTCGCGGACACGTTGGCAAACAGTGAAGCCTCGAAGCATACTCAGAATGGACAGGCACATCGTGACCGCATCATTGTGGTCACGAATCTCCCGTCCTCCGAGGCGGGGGCCTTGCCATTTACGTCGTCGAAGGTGGCGTGCCCTAATGATCCACCCGGCTGTTTGACAGCGTATGCCAACGGTCAACTCCCGTAAGTCAGGAGATGGATTATCATTTTTATGTTAGTTTGCAATTCAATTTGGCATCTTCATTCGACTCCTGGAGAGTTCAATGCTTGTGCTTTCATTAACACGTGCATAATAAATTTTCATTCAGGGTTCAGCATGTTGTTTAGCTTCTTAATGTATAAATATAAGATACCAAGAATGGTGTGGAATGAGAAGCCATAGATGAAATGTGAGCCAAAGATTTCCTTCCATGCTAATCTAATCTTGATTTTACAGGAGGCATAACCTTCCCGATAGTCCGCCGGACTCTGGGTCAGAACCTCCATATTCCCCGACGGATCCAGGGTCACGTTCTCCCAGTAAGATTTCCTCAAACTATCTCAAACACTCCAAATTCATTAATAAGTTTTGTTTTCACCAGATCACAAAGATCCAGCCATGAACGGACGACGAAATCTGCATGAACTCCTTCTTCACCCAATGTTTCCGCAATCCTCCTCCGGGGGATCGGGAAACGGGGCGGTTTCGGTCATTCTGCAACACCACGATTTACAATCGCTGGGATCTCCCATATCCAGCATCCCTTCCATCACTCACACAGGAACAAGTCCCTCAGCAAATAATGTGACTCTGACGACACTCGGTGGATCCGGACCCTGTTCCTCGACCCAAGTTGTGGACGGGTCTCAAACTGCCTCCCCACAGCAGGACATCCCATTTTACACCAACTTAACACCTGTCGTCCAGCCAAGCAGTGAAACCAGCAGCAAGGGGAGGAAGAGAAAGGCTTCCGAGTCTGGGGCAAGCAGCACCAAAGGAAAAGTTAGCATGGTTCACGTGAAACAAGAGCCAGGTGAGGTTCACATTAATAAAGTTGGTTTTGGTAACTGGAGGATGGATACTAAATTAAGTTCAGCTCTCTCAGAAATGTCGCCCGGTGCAGAGTCCACCACTTCAACAACTCACAATGCAAGTGGGACTGGAAATGACAATGGGGGCAGTTTAGATGACGATTTCTACGATTTGTCAAACGACCCTTCAATCTTCATGGATCCAAATTACCAGTGCATCAAATTCCAACCATTCCACGAACACACATGGCTCCCACTTGCGGATGAAGCTCTCAAAGAATTGTAAGTTTATTACAGAGCTTTTTTTTACTAACACAGAAGAAATTGATGATAACTTAATGACGATAATAATATGATAATGCTCAGACCTACGGCGTACTTCAAAGTTGATGCTGACAAAGGATTCAACTTTTCTAATGCGGATGATGCTTTTGTGTGCCAGAAGAAAAACCACTTTCAGGTACACACACCATAACACATAAATATGCTCTCAGAATTTTACACAATAAAATTTTATGACAGATTACGTGCCATGCAAAGTATCATGGAAATGCAAAATACGTTAAAACTGCGGACGGTTTTAAACCCGTTGATGGATTTTGTATCCATTTTTACGGCGTTAAAGCCGAGTCTCCAAATCATTCCATCAAGATTGAGCAGTCCCAAAGTGACCGAAGCAAAAAACCTTTTCATCCGGTTCCGTAAGTGAACGACATTTAATTTGAATGGAATTAATTGCATCGTGCCAAATGGACAATGACGATAAATCTAAATAGTTTTGAAATTTGCAGACTGGACGTTAATTCCGAAACGGTGTCCAAACTTACCGTTGGCCGACTCCACTTTAATGAAACCACGTCCAACAATATGCGCAAGAAGGGAAAGCCGAACCCCGACCAGCGCTACTTTTACCTGGTTGTAGCCCTCCATGCACACGGTCCGGATGGAAACTACCCCCTGCTGGCACATTCCTCACAACGAATCATTGTCAGGGTATGGAGGACGCAAGTGCGGAAATAATTGCAGAATTTCCTGGATTAATAATATATGCAAATTTGTGTTATTTCTTAAAGGCTTCAAATCCAGGACAATTTGAGAGTGACATGGAACTATCTTGGCAGAAGGGGCAGACATCGGATTCGATTTATCATGCTGGACGCGTCGGAATCAACATGGATCGACCTGAGGAAGCTCTCGTCGTTTATGGAAACTGTAAAGTTACGGGCCAAATTATTCATCCCAGTGATATGCGAGCAAAGGAGAACATTGTAGAGGTTAGGAATAATATTTAATATAAATTTCTACGAAAAAAAAATTAATTTAACTACTTGTTAATCATTAGATGGACAGTAAACAGCAGCTTAAAAATGTACAACAACTCCGAGTTGTTAGATACAAATATAATCCAGAGTTTGCTCGATTGATCGGAATCTCTGATGCGGATGCTGAGGACACGGGCGTTATTGCACAAGAAGTTCAAAAGATCATTCCCGAGGCGGTGAAGGAATCCGGAGATATAAAGTTACCGGACGGAAATAAAATTAGCAATTTTCTCGTTGTGAACAAGGTTAATTGATAAGAAATTATCGTATACTTTATATGCATACCAATTTTTTAAGTTGCCATAATTGCTAAAATTCTGAATCCCAAAATTTCAGGAGCGGATATTCATGGAGAACATCGGAGCCGTAAAAGAACTTTGCAAGGTTACAGGAAAGCTCGAAACGAGAATTGATCATTTAGAAAAGATTACAAATGCCAACAGAGATCGCAATAATCTTAAATCTGGCCGATCATCATCTCGATCAAGTAAGAACCTCTCTGCACTTTTGTAGGAGTGTGTACTGTATTGTGTTACTAAAGAGAGGGTTTATTTTAAATTATTTCAGGTGCTTCGAGCTCTCTAGGACGTAGAGAATCAGCAACCAAAACGGCAACTGAATACATTTGTTCGAATCGATGTGTGCAAATTCTCATTGTGATTCTCGTTTTGATTATGGCGTTCTGGTAAGTAGCAGAATTTAATATTTTTGGTAATAACACTGAAATGTGCAACTGTTCATTTTTAAATTTGCTGTTCACATTAGCTTGGTCGCAATGGCTACTCTGTACTGGCTCGAGTACCACAAACGGTCATCGTACGACTTCCATCATCACAATTCCCACCATATCTTCAACTCGTCTCGGGAATTTTTAAATATTCCGGCTTCTGATTATCGTCACGGAAGTTATGGAGCTCCAAGTACCTTCTACCCTGCACCAATCCACCCACATAGCTTTAACAGTAACCATCCGACTAAAAATCCAAAGTCATCAGCCAAGTCGCACCATTCTATTCCTCCTAAAACCGGCGGCGGTATTGAGCCGTTCCTCTTGATGAAGCCCAAAGTTCTTGGCAGACCGCAGTATTGTTTCACTACTCTTCCCTATTTGGACACACAATGCGGGGTATGACAAGCAACCGTAGTTATGAAATTGACAATAATTAAGTAATTTTATTTAATTGTATTATTTTTATATTTGCCTAATCCAGACCTTTTGCTGTGCTGGAGCGTCATTGTCGCCAACCGATTACTCAGACATTGAAAGAAGAAATCAAGTCGTGCTGAGCGTCAGTTCTACAAAACTTTCTCCACCTCCTGTTACACTCACTCCGCAAAACAACAATTCTGAGGATGCCATTTCGAATTTCTCTGTGAGTATTGGCATTTGTTTCATTGTAACTTTATAATACTAAAAACTAATTGTTTTATTTTACTTTTCTAGAGCAATCCTGTTCATCGCAATGGATTAGACTCGAAACGCAGACGACGACAGATTGATGAAAGTAAGACTTGTTGTGTGCTTACAAATTGAAATTCGGACCTAAATTCTAACCTCTAAATTTATTTGTACTCCAGATCCCCTGATTACAGTGCCATCGATTCGCGTCTTGTCTCAGAACATTAACCAAACTTTAGATGCGTCGTACTGCATGCTAAATTCTAACGGATATGACAGGTATGCATAAATGCATGAATGGTATGCATGTACGTGTATGCACGTGTTTAGACTAATTCCTATAAATACAATTTATGCTAACAAATACAAAACTACTTTTATTTATTAGTCCAATTGCGCTATCAAATTAATCTAGAGTCGTAGTTTATAATTTATCAAAATTAATACACGAAATTTTCTAGAACAGTATATCCACATAATTTACGTCATGTGACTTTATTATATGCACATTTATATGAAAACTAAATAGATGAATAATTGTTGTGTTTATTTTTTCAAGCGGATACCACGACTGTGTTTCGACTGACAACAGATATTTTTCTAGTGCAAATTTGACGTATCACGTTCCTTTAAGCAAATATTGGGACGAAATGAACGTGAAACTTATTTTCAAGTATGTATTCATTTCCAAAAATCTATTAATTTTCTTATTTAGTATATTTTTCATGACATGGATTTTATTTACATTTCCAGGTTCTCGCCACGAGTGAACATTTCTCAGCCTCAAATGTGTCAAGAGTTTTACGATCAGCCCTTCTGCAGGCTGGATGACGCCACCACGAGTACTCCCAACGTTGAGGAGAAAAGCAATAACAATGACACTCAGACTGTCGCTGGTGAAGGGAAGAACGTATTTTCTCTCAGCGTGAAAGTTGGAGGCAGTCCGTACTCTCGTTTCAACATTAAATTTTCTTCAAATGTCGACACCCAGGTTAGTCGTTGTGCAAATTTGGCTTAATTTGACCGTGCAAAAATAATAGTAACGACGTCTCATATATTTTTATTTACAGGATTTGTGTAACGTGCAAAAGAACATTTTTGAATTCAATTTCCACTTTTACCGAGTATGCCATGAATGAATAACGCTGCTACTGCTGCTATATAAGTCATTTTCCAATCAGTCAAACACCATTAGTGTAGGAGAGTTCCTTCCACGATATGTTATTCTATTATTTGATTCCTTATTATTGTTGCAATTTAGTCCGTCCCGTCAACTTTCTCATCCGTTCCATCGCCATTATTATTGCTATTTTATGTGTCAGAATGCAGTTAGAGTCTAGATTTAATTTCGTAGAGATTGTCTCAACTACGTTACATAAATACATATATCTCTGTATTACACACATTATTTACGGATTATTCGTGGCAAAAAACTTAGGTATTTACTATTGTATGATAAACTGGTGGGTATGAATGCGATGCGTTTTCCGAGTAGTAACTACATTATGTTTGGTAGTAAACACAACTAAAAGTAAAGTAACTCAAATGTAAAAAATTATTATCATTTTAGAAATAATGTACAACATGATGATCTAGACAAACTAGAAAAGAAAAACTAAATGTATTACAAGTTTGATGAACAATATATGTTTAAAAAGTATTTTAAAGCCAACGATATGTAACGTAACGATAATGATAAATTTGATCCGAAATTGATATTACTCAATTTTGAGAAATTTAAATTAGACACGTATTTGAAATATATATATATTTACCCATGTTATACCTGTTTGTGACGAGAGAAAGGTGAGGAGAAAGAGAAAATCTCAATAGAAATGTAGTAAATTTTAGTGTTCAATTAATAGTTTTTAGTTCGATACATATTTACTTACAATGCGATGGTGTGAAGTGTAACCCTCCGATTTGGCTGAAATTTTAAAATTAGGTGGTCCAAGCCAATACAACTAACGTTTCTTCAGGCAGTTTGTGCGATGGTGAGAGTTACTCAAAATATTTGAGGTCAAAGTTCAAAAAACGGCCGACTTTTTTCAGGCGCAGGGAGAAAACTTCCATTCTCTTCCCCTCGCTTTGATTTTATTCAGGCGTCTCGCTCATGCATACGCCTTCATGCTCAAGCACAAGCTTTGATGCAAAATAATAAAAAATAAACATTATTAATTATAGCTTAAAGAGCAATTAATACGCATTATACATACTTAATTTAATTTATAATTAAATAAGTGAGATTTTTACTTATTTCTAGTACAAATTTACATAACAGTTAATTTATAAATTCGCCAACGGCAAATAAACATGGAAAAACTTAACTTGCTTTCCATTTCGAAAGCGTTGGTTATTCTAATATCCAATTATATATTAATATTTTAAATGCTCCTGTGATTCGATATTGCTGGTACTCAAGCGGATCATGGGGTGATGACGAAAGGCCCGAGTTTAAAAATGTAAGCGAAGTTTGTTTTAGAGAAAAAAATATTAGTTGCGACCTGAATTGTGGCAATCCCACATTCATCAAATTCAGCTGGTGCAGTTTATCGTATTGTTTTGTGGACTTTTATGAAAATAATCATATAGTCACATGTGGAATGAATAATTAATATTTTTCTATAAAAAATTAAATTTAAAATTGTTGAAATGAATTATTTTTCGGAGTGAAAATCAAAGCGAGGGGAAGAGAATGGAAGTGGAGTTTTCTCACTCCGCCTGAAAAAAGTCGGCCGTTTTTTGAACTTTGACCTCAAATATATTGAGTAACTCTCACCATCGCACAAACTGCCTGAAGAAACGTTAGTTGTATTGGTTTGGACCACCTAATTTTAAAATTTCAGCCAAATCGGAGGGTTACACTTCACACCATCGCATTGTTAGTTCAATATTTGAATATGAAAGCAATTCGTACAGATTATATTGTATTATAATTAAAATAGTATGAATTGGTGCATACGATTTACTACATATTTAGATTCCTATTTCACAGACAACTTTTTTGCTCATTTTATTTACTTTTACTCGAAATTTTTATTTTATCAATTTATTTTAAAACGCCGAAAAGTGCACATGTACTCGTTAATTCATGCTGTTTAACATAGTGCGTATGTATACTTATCGAATATTTGAGTTAAAAAACAAACGTTATAGTTGTTCCTCGAGATCGCTTGGTAGTACAAGCAATGAAACTAGTAATATTTATAATAAAAACGTTAAGTATCTACATACACAAAAGTGTGGGATCATAATTTTATATTTCTGATCATCATTTAAAAAAATCATGAAAAAATTGCAAATTACTTTCTTTTCCTGAACCAACTTCCCACAGGTCAAGACATATTATCTCCGTTAAAAATGTGGTTGAAGGTGTTTGCGTGTGAAGAAAATCACATTCCTTTGCCAATTTAAATCTACATTTGTACACAAGTTGGGAGCTTGGCACATGCGAAAACGTCGTTAACCCGGATCATGAATAATATCATGATTTTGATTAGTGGCACCATTACATATGCGACGCAGACTGACCCCTATCTCCTGTCTCATTTCTGGTGAAAATTGCGATGTTATGCTACGACTACAATGCCGCATAAAAGTAATTGGAGGTGTAAACTGCACGAGACTATTGCAAATTTCCTCAAATTTACCTCAATAAATATGTACATACGTTTAGTGGAAAGAAAGCGTGTGTTTTCATGGATTTTCGCAAACCTGGCATGCATGCATTTATGCAATCTACATGTAGTTGGTTTTGCAAAAGGCAGAGCTATTACAATTAATGCATTCTGAATTTATCGGGTTTTCTGTTGTTAGAGTATCGAGACATACATATGCACAGGAGCTGCACGAAAATTTTGCAAACAAATTTGCAACATAGAAGACAGAGTTGCGTTGAGTAATCAATCCTGGGAAAGGCACAATTCAATAAACTGATGAAAGGAGAACCATGACAGTGTATCGGCATCCGTCATTATTCATCCGCCTTATCAATTTATTCGCATTGGACTTGCACATACACATGTGGAGTCCCTACTGATTAGAGTGAATCAATAGAATCCGGATTGACAAACGGAATCAGTACAAGTTCAGGGAAGCCATGAAATCGCTGATGGAGGATTATGTATCGTCGTATCCGAGATTCCGTGAAAGCGGTGAAAGCTGAGAAAATGTCGTTCTAGAATTCTCCCATTATTTTGCGGGTGTCTGGAGCAACGTGGTCTATAGGATTACCAGAAACACGCCAAACTGATTTCTGGAGAAAACGTCATCTCGATTTCCTAGATCCTTCCAATCCATACATTATCCGTTCATCCATACCATGACATGTTTGCTACACTGATCACTTCCTGACGACATGATCAAGGATCTTTTGTGCACAAAATTTATGATGCGAATAAGGCCTTGCAAGGTGATGCATTTCGAGTTCTTGGTCGCAGGCATATGAAGAATATGTGTGTCGATCGAGTACATGTTCCGGCCTGGCAATGGGACGGAGCAAGCAGTACTGCAATCGATACCATGACATAGGCCATGCGCTTACACCGACAACCAGACATATATCTGAAAACCCGCAGTAAGTAGTCGACGGCTGAACTGGATTGGAAACTCGGAGTATATAATGAGGACAACCCGGGGAGTTTTTTGCTATTTCTACTACAACTGAATTTCTGTCTGCTAAATCCACCAACTGAATCCGAGCTGACGTTTCATTTGAATTTATTTTAAGGTCACACGCCGTTACGTTTCTTCCCCTCTCGACATATTTACAAACGTCTCTTCTGCTGGAGGAGTCGTCGTCGTCAAGAAGAAGAAGAATTAATTTAATATTTCCATCCAATATTTATGAAAATTTAGACCAATAAAATTTCATTTATTACAACCCGTCGTTAGTCAAATCTAATCAGAGTTGTAGTATTTACTAGGGAAATGCAAACAGTATCAGCAAAGTGTACATATTATGCATACAAAATGTGAACCGAGTTGAAAAGTGTAATCTCAAAGTAATCATTCAAAGGACACTGACTGACAAGCAGAAATAATTTCTCTTTGTCCTAACAAATATAGAAGTTTCATGTAAAGTTGTCCCATTAGTATCAGCAAAGTTCTTGTTCTTATACCCATTTGGAGTATAATAATTAGACATCATTCATATGGTATTTCCCGTGTTTATTCATCCCGATAAAGGCGAAGGAGTTTAAGTATTTTCGACAAGAATTTAGTCAGGTTTAAGGTTGGGTTAAACATTTATTACTACAACTAACAAACTGCTGAACTCTGTAATTTGAGTTAGTCTCTCTCTCTCCTCGTCCTTGTAATAGTAGTAAGTTCGTTAGTTTTGTGGTGTGATTGAGGAGTCGTGCATTGAGACATTAAAGCCCTGTATAAGCAGGCATATAATGAGATCTACTCGTCACAAATTTAAAATGTTACGGGGCATCAGCAGTCGATCCTCTACTACCAACGGTGGTGATGGTATTGGAGGTGCTTGCGGTGGTTTACCTTATCGAAAACAAGTTCATTATCAACACTCTGCTACTTTCCAACGCCATTCCTCTGCCGACGGGACACAGAGCCACAAGAATAATAATCAAAATCATAATCGCAGCGATACCAAAAAGTTTCACAGAAGCAACTCAGACGGTCAAGTGAACGGAAGTAGTGCTGGAAATAGAAGTCCACGAAACAGGCCTTACAACCAGCATCCGACACCTTTTAAAGTCTCAGCGACGATCCCGCTGTCCTCGTCATTCATCAAATCTGGTGAAAGTAATAACAACAGCAACAATTTTTCTGAACGTATTCAGAGCCTAACTTGGACCGAGATTCACTCGTCCACGACATCCACCATGGATTGCAAACTCAACTCGGATATCAGAGCCAAGGCCTTTGCCATCTGCAAAGACTACCTTCACGGCGTATGGAAGGCGATCGATGCCAGGGATTTGGCAGTCAAACGAATCAGGTATGAGCCATTAGGCAATTAACTTTTTCCGCAACGTGTACTTATGTACAATCGTGCATGAGTCAGTATTACTCGTCATCATCACTTCCGCAAAATGTGCATTCATTTATTCCCACAAATATGAGCATAATCTTACAATTAGTTTTTCCTGCTTTCTCTTCAAGAAATACAAACTAACAAACTTGGTGACATGGAGGTGAAAATGTTCCAGTAATTTTCCACTCCTGAATTGTTTGAGCACTGTGAATGGCTAGGGATAAGGGTGATTATTTATAGAGATAAGCAGGATTATGTTAGGCGACGTTGACCAACCATCTATACACGTGTCTGGATAGACCCGATTCTGATTACGAGGCCTGCACAGTAGCCAAAGTTATGTATGTACATATGGCTGTATAGTGATCATGTTGTTATTGTTATGCATATCAAGTAAGATATATAGCAAGGCGCTACTTAGTTTGCCATTATGCAAATAATTCTGCGACATGACATTCCTTCAAAATTCAATGTTGTGGTTGGAGAAAGTATTAAGTTTCAAGTAAGAACAGAAAGCCGGCTCATATTTTTTTAAGAGACACGCTAAACTTGGGTGAGTCACATTGTACCGCAACATTGTGTGTCGGAAGCTAGTTCAGTAAGTCGAGCTGGTGGTGGGGCGATACGTGTATCTTCAGACCTTTAGTTAAGAAAGGATGTGTCAAGCAAGTTGTAATAGCAGGAATCGCACATACGTGTAATGGTGGTCCTGAATAATGAGTATCATCAATGGTGCCATGAATAAAGAATGGGTGACAACTGGTTATTTACAACCGCAGAGTCACTGGATTAGTAACATTACGACGAAAACACATGTATACCGTTTCACTCCCCGTCTTATTTTTAATTCTGAGCCCATGTCATAATGCTCATTAGCTGGATGCACGCTTCATCATCGCCTTGTGTGCATCATTCTGACGTATTTTTAAAAAACAAATACGCTTTAACGCCTTTTGTCCCGGCATTTTTCTATCGGCCGTTATGTGGAGATGCTCCAAAATCGGAGGAAATTTGTGCATTTTTTTTTTACTAATCTCAAAACGCAATTTAGTCCACATGTCACTCACATGAATGAGAGTTTTTTAAGACGCTTTTGTTATTCCCTTTAACCTTGGACCATCTACCTTGCGTTCAATTGCCCCAGTTGGTAGTTTGCTAGAGATGGCATGATATGATGACAAATAGTTTGGGATGATTATGCATGAAATGGGACTGGTTTCAAGGAAATCCGAATGCACATCCTTCTCTGCAAGCGATATCATTGCCAATATTGAATCTAGTACGCAATATACAGAATATTATTAGTATTTTGTGAGTACGATCGAACAACATTTCCTGGTTGTTTACCAGTTAACAGATTAGTGCAAATTGTTTTCAAGCTTAGCATTATCTCAGTTTGTTTGTGTATTTGATTTCCTCTCCATTTATTATATCCACTCATTCTATTCGGCACATTAATTTTTGTCCTACATATTCCACATCCATATAACTCGCGGAATGCGGCATTGTTCGCGTATTAAGAATGGTTTCAAGTTATTATACTTGTTTTGTTTAGGTATTATGATTGTTATTGGTATGGACAAAAACTGGGTAGCAAAATATACGGTCGGTGTAGCATGTACAATTCCACACATGTCAGAGGAATGTTCCTCACATACTTTGACGACCAAGCCATAATTTTTTTAGAACCGAATGCCCTTCGTCTCCATTATCATCACGAACGAACCTTATACTCGCACCACACCCAGTTCCGTGTCAGGCGGTGGAGGTCACCTAATGAATAATGATGCTCTTTAGACCAGCATGTCATAATTTAAAGTGGTGTAGATATCTCATGGTTTTGAAAGTTGGGACTGGTCGATGGTCTGTCTCTGGTGATTTCTCGTAGTGCAAAAACGAATGAAGATTTCCATTTTATGCATATTTATGAGGAGCAGGAAACCCAGATCTTCTCAATATGCATGAAAGTGTTGTTTCCTCCCTTGTTTTATGACCCTCGTGTATCGCACTCAACAAATCAACAGTTCATTAAAGTTGGGATATAAAAACAGAACTTTTTAATAGGTGTCAATAATATTTGCTATTTGAAGGTTCCATTCAACAGAACTACGCAGAAGGCAAACCACACATGAAGTATTTATTTATTCGTTCTGAGAATTGTTTGAAATCTACGTTGCATGCAAAGCTATTGAAACTAATTATTTTGCCACTGGGACCATTCATTTCAATTCAAACCTTAAAATATATACTAACAAGTCCGCATTTAAATTACTAAAATGTAAGCAAACTAAAGTGTCACATCTTTCACAGGACGACAATAATATTTAGTTTGCTTACATTATGGTAACATGATTCGCAGCATTCCATTCATGAAAATGCACACTTTCATGGCACGTTAAGAGAAAAAATCAAGGATCAAAACGTATGGATCATATTTCTTGGTACAAAGTTTCAAACTTGGAGTGTGAGAAAGCGTCGTCTGGAAATGAGCATGAGGTCGCCATGCATCCACAAGAGGAGGCGGAGAGGATGATAAAATTAGCAGGATGTACCAACCAACGTCATTTGTTTCAGTCAAAATAATTTGTTTTGAACGAACAAACAAAACGGTTGCGTATTGTGTAACCATTCATAATCCAGATTATCATAATGCATGCATGTAGTTTACAACTTTCTTTCGTTGTTAATTTTTTGCAGCGTAATAACTTGGCAGAATTTGGCTTCACTATTTCTCACTCATTCACACGCTGCCAACTCCATTTATAAATATTAGTTGTATGGTATCTCATCATCACCATTATCAGAGTTTTGCAATTCGGGTGAAGCTAAGAGAATTAAATTATTGGCGTGGTTTGGGCAGTTATTTAGTGAAGTGGACACTTGTCAATGGCAAAGTAGCTACGGTCAGCGTTAATGACCAGCTTATCCATAAAAATGCTTTCCAATTTTCAGATAAGGGAATTAGCTCAATCAAACTCTAATCAACTTTGTTTGATCTAAATGTGCATTTATGGGAGCAGACAATATGTTGGATTTGTAGAATAAAGTCTGCTGATTTTCATGCAACAGTGTGATCAACTTGCGTGCATTTGTACTTTCGTACTTTGAAACGTGTTGGATAACATCATCCTTGTTGCAAATTTAATGTCAGGGTCAGTCATGCTGTGTTTAATGACAATGCACATTATCAAATTCGGTGGTTAGATCGGGTTTTCCGTGTTAAGCATATCTATGCAATATATTTTATGCGTTGTTACATACGCCGAAAAACAAACATGAGACGGATAAGCACAGTTTTATCTGTAGTTGTTTTCTTCCATTCATGCTCCGATTCGTCGGGTCTGTGGCGAAGTCGGAAGACGAATTAAAATTGGGGCAGAATGTGGAATTTTCAGACGAGATGATGAGTGTTGTAGACAAGCATTTGTGTATATGTATGTATACCATTGCTTTCTTCTTCGTTGGATACACAAACCGTAAAAAACGCGGAGCAACGTCTGTCAAACAAGAAATTTCATGTCCTCCAAGGACTCTAACGCAATTGTGTTTATGTGCTCTTGGTCTTGAGAGAATTGCAAACGTGCGTCTGAGTTTTTGAGTTTCTGTCTGCTATTATTAGCACATCCCATTACGTGATGTGATTATGAGACGTATGATGCAGACATTTGAGAAGATTAGCATTTTTGTGGCGAATAGTGAATACGTTTTACACAAACATCGCATATTTTCTGGGGAAACGTAAAGCTGCTGCGATGTGTCATAAGAAATACACAAGAATATTCATTGATTTATTGTTTACTACAAAATCTACAGAATTACTTGAAAAAATAATGTTATTATTATGCGTCATATTTTTTGGCTTGTATTTTCAGTGGAGGACTCAGCAACTATCTGTACCACTGCTCGCTGCCCCCCACACTGACGCCATTGTACACGGAGCCAATTCAAGTTCTGCTTCGATTCTATGGCCAGGTAGGTTTTGGGAAAAGATTTATCGCTATGTGGGTTTTCTCACTAGTTGAAAACATTTAAATGCATACGACTTTTCGCTCATCTTTATCAGGCAAATTTGTCATTGACTACATTCTCATCCTTGATAATGCAGGTTCACGGTGAGGGTGCTCTGGAGTCATTGATAACAGAGTCCGTAATATTTACTTTGTTGTCTGAGAGGAAGCTTGGACCTCGGCTGTATGGGGTATGTCAAATATTGAATTAAATGGTCAAAGTACAAGAAAAACTAACACATTAAAATATGTATCGTTGTTTCACAGATCTTCCCAGGAGGTCGCGTAGAAGAGTTCATTCCAGTAAGACACCAATGTTACGTAGTCTCGTCGTTGAATTATTGTGTTATTTTATGTGAACTTGCACAATATTTATGTGAACAAGAAATTGTGTGGAAGGTCGTGCATGTGATGACAAATAGTCTTCATCAATGATTTTTTTCTTGATATTCTACAGGCTCGGCCACTGTTGACAGTAGAACTTAGAGATGAGGAACTGACTTTGTTGATTGCTCAAAAAATGGCTCAAATACATGGTATGAACGAGACTTTTCTAAATATTGACGTCCGATTAAGAAATTAATTTCTAAAAATAAATTTATGTCGGGACAGCTTTAAATATTCCAATTAGCAAGGAACCGTCTTGGCTTTGGGGGACCATGGACAGGTTAGTTTGTAGAAGCAAGATATAAGTACCGAATTCGGGGCTAGAGACAATTCGGGCGTGACGTTTTATACAATGTCAAACATGGTTTAAGTGTTATTCTACTTATAAATAGATGGATGGCCAATGTTGAGGAAAGTCTCATGAAAATTTCACTAAAAGACAACCCGAAATCAGATATTATTCAGAGGTTGAAGGAGTTCAATTTGCCAGGGGAACTTTCTTGGCTGAAGTAAGTTGTCAGATTTGTTGGCTGAGAGTAGATCTCAATGACAATTAGTGGTAATACTTGTAATAAAATGATCGCACCAAAGGAAATACTTACCGACCGTGGACAGTCCTGTGGTATTCTCGCACAACGGTAAGATCATAAATTTATTGACCGAGTGTAAGATAGGCGGTAGCAGGCCCGTAGCGACGCTGGAGAGAGGTGGAGAGACACTCTCCAGGCCGTGCAGCCCAAGGGGCCGTACCGCCGGGATCCGCAATAGAATACACTATATAAAATCGGAGTTTCGAAGTTTTTTGTAGGGCATATTAGGCCGTACCACGGCTAAACTCTCCAGGCCGGACGAAACGTCGCTACGGGCCTGGGCGGTAGTCCGATAATAAAATTACCCACAAATTACAGACTTGCAAGAGGGGAATATTCTGATTCGTCCAGAATTCGAGTCAGCCGATGACAAACTTGTTCTCATTGATTTCGAGTATTGTTCTTACAATTATCGAGGGTTCGATCTGGCCAACCATTTCTGCGAATGGAGCTATAATTATAATGTTGACCTATATCCGAACTTCGCCTATACTCCGACAGACTTGCCGACTCGTGATGAAAAAGTAAGTTTATCCGATAATTATTTGCCCTCTCTATCGATTCCTATCCTACTAGGCCTACATATCTCAATTAATTTCTAATAATAAACTTTCGCACATACAAAGGTGCGATTTGTCCGAAGATATATTCACATTCTTCGTGAAGAATACAAGCTAAACTTTCCGGAAGTTGATGACGAGTTTTTGCGAGAGTCATCCCTGTTTGATGAACAACACATTTTACGAGAAGTCGAAGCCTTCGTCCTCGCATCACATTTCTTTTGGAGTTTGTGGTCCATTGTTAATGCACAAGTTTCAAAAATTCCGTTCGGATACTGGGTAATTAAAATCAGAAATTGTAAAATTATCATGAATTTCAAAAACTAACTGTTTTTTTATTTCAGGAGTACGGGCTCACCCGTTTAGAAGCATATTTTGAGCACAAGAAGAGAATCATCTAAACTGAAACCCTTTAATTACAAGTATTTTCAACATTCATGTTCAATTAACACCACGATTGAAATTTGACGAAGCCAAGAACTGTGACTGTGCGGTGGTGATGATGGTGATCACGCACTTACTGCTTCATAAATAATAAGTGTGCTTAATTCGTTCTCGTGTATCTTTAGCCACATATTTAGTGATAATCAAAAGTCCAATCTCTATGAATCAATTTAATGTATCGCACATATCTCATTCGGTGGTTGAGTCAAGTATGGAAGACGAAGAAGAAGGAGGAGGAATTCAAGGGTTGTCGTTAATATGGTCATGATAATAATATCAAAATACTTACTAGATCCAAGCACTGATATAATAATCCTAGCATAATAATTCAGAAGAATTGTGGTACTGGACAGACTGAATGCTGGCCTATTCGTTTGGCTCTATCTTTATTAACAAGCATCATAATATTTTTCATCCATAGATCGTTTCCACTTTTAATCAAAAACATTGTAATTCGCTACTCAGTCAAATGTAAATAGATAGATATTGATTCCAGTGAAATAGTGGTAAAAATCAAACTCCAAACGAAAGACATAAATAAATGTAATATAGTCCGACATATACTTTTAAGGGTATAAATTGTAGAGTCAACATTCCCAATTATTTTTTGATGATGACCAATTCGAAATATTGTTTAGAAATTATCAACTATTTTTTTTAGATCTCTTTGTCCAACGTGAATCGAAAAATATATATTTTTCATTTTGGTTTTGTAACTCACCTCTTAACACAATTTAGTATATTTGAGAATTTTAAACCTTAAGTTTTTATTTCCGATTTAAGTAGCAGGAGAGATTAATTTTTAGAAAGAACTGATGATAAAACATCGCAATAACAGAATAATTTCAACTTTTTTGCCAAGTCAGGCTTCCCAAATATGTTATATCCTATGTCACTAGAATTACTTAATAACATGCTATATAAGATTATTGAGTTTTATTCAGAAAATCAGCTAGAAGTAATATTTCATTAATTTATCGCCTCACATTTTCATGTTTCCCTTGAGCGTCACTAAGAATATTGTCTGCGCTATGGAGCCTGTTTAGCATAGCCTATGCAACATTATTGAGCCCAAGACTAATTTGCATTTGAGACGTTACATACTTGGGACAGAAAAGTTGCCAGCATGGCCAAGATACAAGATTATTGGCGACGTACATGGGCAATTCTGAAAATCAAACTCCGGATCCTGTTCAACCACCCTGCGTTACTTTTACTTGCTTACTTACTCGTATTTACTATGGGGCACACCTCGTAATTCCAGTAAACAAGCACTTCCATCCAATAACCACTGCCACCAGAGTGGTACATGATACAACAACAATGACCCTGTCCTTACAATAACCAAGCACAACAAGCATTGTCATGCAAACTAGGCTTGCTTTTTAATTTATACCGTTGTTGTTGGCTTCTGATAAGGGCGAAAAACCAGGTAAGACTTTGATAACTAAAGGTCGTGGAATTTTAAAAGTTTCGCTTTATGCAACTCGGTCAATTGGATCGATTTTAAACTTTAAATAGTCAATATATTAAGTTGTTCTTCCCCACTTGACTTTTTAAAGTCCTGTTCAATTTATCACTAAATTTGCAAATTTGCGAAATTTGATGTATTAAAGCTAATTAGATTCATGATATAAATTCGAGAGTGCAGATGCATTAAAAAAACTAACCTAACCATCAGCTTACTTACTTTCCTTACTCATTACCTACTTACATAAAATTTGTAATATACCATAATTAGTCATTACACACTTAAAGTTGACTGCTCGTAAAAAATGTTTCATTCCTGTCTCAAAAGTCAGGCAAGGAAAAATACTCGAATAAAGAATCCTTCTTTATTACAAACTATGCAGACAGCCATTATTATTACTACTGTAAAGTGAAACTTGCTTTACTGTTTTAGGGACCGCGAAATAAATGTGCTAAAAACTAATATTTATACAAGAAGCAATTATTAAAATTATAGCTGGCTCCGAGTTCATGTATATGCAACCAATTAAGTCTTGTGATGAAAATTGCCATTGATCTTTAATGCTGATATTTGTGTACCTGCCGCATTCAACTGTTGTACATAGTGGCGATTGATAAACAATTATAGATTTTTGAATTAGCCACACACATCACATGAGCACAAATTTCGAAAATCCGCATATGCATAAAAATGTGTAATGTATGTACTTCAATAATAATAATAATGTACTGCTAAAAAATATTGTAAAACTTGTTTTCATCGGCAACAACTTGAATTCTGAATAAACTTTTAAAAATATATTTATTTATGATGAATGCCTACGTACTTGTGTACATATCTCCTTGTTCATGGCATGGCTTCATTATTGCCGTATTTTTTGAGGGATTCTCCACTTTTGAGTAAATGTATTCTATAAAGTGCACTCCTTCGCTGACGTACGTTGTTAATCATGAAAATAACTGGTTACGTAGTACAAAACCAATAAATTACCCTTTCCGAGACTAAAAGTGCGTTTATCATGGTGGAAAATCAACCGAGAAACACGGACCAAGGACATTTGTTAGCAATTCAAAAATTCCTGCTTATGATACTGGTTTTTGACGCCACTTGGAATGCAATAACTTAATTTGTTTACATGAGAAACGAACAATACAACCCGTACTTATCCAAATGACGTCGTCGTCATCGGGGTAAACTCGTGCCGCAAGAAGAAGCTGGCAGCAGAGGTGGCATTAATAAATGAACATCCTATTACACCCGATTTTTATATTAAGATTTTTTTTACGTAACGATTTCTACATTATTTACATATATTATATCCTCCTCGAGGTGAAATTAGGTATGTGCGCCTCGTGTAAACCCCAAATTATCTGCATTATCTACACGCATATGCATGTACATACGTTGGTGATGTAATGGTTAAAGAGCTGTATTTTGCGAAAATCAATGTGATGATTAACGAACATGCCGCAATTTCTGCTGAATCAGCAGAGTGATGTCATTTTCTCAAGAAGTTGGATTTCATTCAGAATTTTGCTCTAGTTGATGTACAGTCATCATGATTCGGGTTTCAATTTAAAAATAAATACCATACCACCTGCTGCTGACATGTCTTTGCTATTAGCATTTAAATCATGATAATGTCATGGACAAAGTGATGTCACTGAGAAAATGACTGCATTCCATGAGCAATAAAGAACATAATAGTAGGGCAGACCATTCATTATTAGGTTAATTAGGTATACATAAATGGCGTTACTAATATATCATTTACGAATACTTTTTCAATCCACGGCTGTACAAGACGTTCCATAAATTACCCCAGAGGGCAAAGTACGGACACGTAATTCCCGTCATCTCCACAAACAAATGACATTCTGTATTATTTAACACAAGTCATTTTAATCACGGGCTCATTCATATTTTCTAATTGATTTTTCACATGTCCATCACCGCGTGGAGTGGGTTACGACTTTTTTGAGATGTACTAAAGAATAAGAATAATTAAGAAAAAGACCTTTAATATGTAAGCAGTTTTGATGGATCAGATCCGTGTTTGGTATAACGTCACTGTGTATTACCACCCACTGGACTGGACTGGCAATAAATAAATTGGATTGTTCTGTAGATAAATGGATTGACCATTGATTGACCAGCAAAAAATTGTGTTGGGTTTCCCAAGCGAAATATTGCACGAGTTCAGAATGCTCTGAAACCACATTTCAAGCTCAACGACATTCGCCGTATATTAGGAAATATTGAAATTTATTTGAAACTGGAGTGACATTTATGATTCGAAGAAACCTTGAAGCAAGGAAACTATTTTAACCTCAAGAGTCCTGGCCTTCACCACCAAGACGACTTTATTTCTCGTTGGTTAAATAAATATGGGAGAATTCATGCTGTGGTGGTTCAAAGTTTGACGATTGAATAAAAAAATGTATTTTTGCAAAGGAAAATACGCGAGTGCAAATATTTATGTCTGAAATTTCCTTGGCTAACTGCCCTATTGTGTGTAAAAGCATGTTTGTTTTAAAGAAAATTGAATAAATGCACCATGCTGGTGGACATAGTAAAATTAAATTTGACAAAAAAAAATAAACGTGGTTTACCGAGTTGAACCAAACCATATCTGTCAAAATGATATAAAAATCAGTACTCGGTATTTCAATAATGCATAAATAAAAAGTGACAATTGGCGCCGAAGTTGTTTTTAATAAAATATATTTTTGTAAAGAAATTTGACATTTTAATGATTTTTTGACGTTATCCACAATCATCAAAACGTGTTCCAATCCTGACTCCTTGTTCAATTGAGGCACATTAATAAAATATATGGCTTAATAAAGTTTGGCTATTAAAGTCAAAACTGGGCAACAAAACAGATTAAAAGCTACGAAAACAAAATCGGAATGTGAGATTCAGAAGACTTGATATTAATCCACACTGCTAATCCTAGCACATTCCTTGTATTTTGTGGTCCAGCCAGTTCACTTGCATATTTGTCCACCACGAGCTCTCTCGAGGATGAATAGAGTTCCGGTTGGCAAATAAAAGTTGAATAAATGAGACAGCGATAAATTAGTGATAAGCAAGCAAACTGCATATTAATGATGATAACCACATGGCTTGGAAATCATAACTTGTGGTAAGTAAAAAGCAAGGCCATCCAGATTCAAAGTTTAAGCTTCTGCGATCAAATTTTTGAGGAGGATGAGTGTAACACAAGTAGACAGCTACATGCAAACATGATACTGATAAAATCTCATCAGTTATGGGTCTCATTTGTCCATAATCTCGACTCTTTTGCAAATCATTATCCAGTCCTGTCAATGTTTATAGCACAACAAACAAACTGGACTCGTTTAGCGTACCTTGAGCCTTTTCCAGTCTCATGTATGGAAAGAAGGAGGAATGTTATTTATTATTATGGCTTGGAGATTATCGTTATTCTGGATCAAATGCTAATTTTGAGTGAATGATGATTATGTATTTTCGATTAAAGTCAATACATCGACAAGTTTCTGCAAAGTTAATGCGTATTCGCCTACGTGTGTGGGAGTTTTTGTGAGAAAGGTTGGAGAAATTTATAAGGCGATCCGTTTTCCTTTGACAGGAATGTGTTTTGATAATGTGCAAAAAAATGTGCAAAAATTATGAAAACCCTTATTCAATATGTTCTTCTTTCTGGTAAGTACAAGAGATCTCATATTGCTGGTTAGGGTGCCTTTTAGCCTAGTCAGACCATTTACAAAGTTGGTTTCGCATTTACACCCTCGTTCGCTTGTACGTACACAATGTTTTGGCAATAATGATACACAGCAGCAACAGCAGCACTGAAGATTTGTGGAGGTAATGGCTCGTGGTGTCGTGAGGTGTGTAATGAAATGTTTGACGCAGGTACGCGCAGAGAGAAAGAAGTTACAACAAGTGTTTTATTTTATAGTCGTCGTCATTTCCAATCTTTGCCTCATTCCAAGTTTGTCCTCCTCTCTCCTTGTTGTCATCCATTTCTCCTTAAAACCTGAAAACCCCTGAATAATCATAATTGCCCACGAATTAGGCACAAATAACATAACAAACCTGTTCATTGCTGCATCTTTCTGGTGGTGCCAAGCGTCTCTTTCACAGACACACACACCCACACAGACCCACAACAACTTTAAACAACAACTGCATTCAGCAAGTTTTGCATATTACTCTTCTTGGCTCTTGCTGCCCTCCTGTTTATTTTGACTACCAAACTTTGTATATAAACCAAACTTTGTGGTCCATTTGCCGCAGTTGTAACTTTGACTTGTTCTGTGCTAGACTCACTCAAGCCAAGAAACTCTATTTCCATTTGTCAACCATAGTAGGAGATTCGTGCCCAGAAAGATTTTGCCAGCTTCTCAGTCTTTTGTTATCTTCATAGAAGATTAAGCTCGATTTTTTTGGAGTTAAGCATTAACCACACACGAGAAGACCTCACCCTCTGACGATACGAAGACGTTTACAGTGATTCTCAGGATGATGTCCCTTTTGCCTTGGTCCATATCAATCTTCGTCACTCTCACTTCTGTCTCAGTCACTTTGGCGTCCTTCGCTCTCCAGCCGGCCACAGTTCACCCAAGTAAGGAAGAAGCCAAAGCCAAAATACTTATTATTATTATTTGTCATTCGTGTTGTTTGTTGTTCCTTTCAATCAATTTAATACTTTCAGTTAATAACTTTATTTTCGTGACATATTTTTTCTGTCAAGTCATTATTATTTTGTCAAGCATTTTGTCATACTTCTTGAGGAAGGAAACGCGTGCGTGTTAGTTTATGTATCCCTTGTGTGGAATACAATTTAATACACTCTTCTTTTTTTCATAGTCACTTGAAATGACACGTCTCTCAATTTTTTTAGATGTCAAATGTATAATCTTTTAAATATAATTTCATCTAGGTCGCCCAGATACCTGTTTCAACAAAGATACAAATTCCTTTTACGAGGATGGAGATTCTTGGCACATTTCAGGATGTGCTATGGCGAGCTGTATGAAAATTGGCCAGCCGTCGGGCAAATCACAAATGATGATCTCATACGAAGGGTATGTATACAACATAGTTTATAATAATGATAATAATTCGCATAAAATCTCTGCCTGGCTTTCTGCATGCCTTCTCCAAAGAGTTTAATAAGTGACTCTCACGGAGTCAAGTTTGGCATGTAATTAAGCATTTTTTGCACACTTGAAATATTATTATTTCGTCATTTCTTTGCCTTTTCTCGTTGTCATCTCGCTCTTTCTCTGGGGCGATATATCGGGCCAACAAACTGTCATACTTGCAACTGCGTCAGAGCAAATCTCCGTAAAGAGAGATGTTTGAGTAGGTGGGAACAGCTCATGTAGATATTTTTCTCCTTATTATTACTATTACCTTTAAATATTTTACTTAAAAATGTGGGAGTACATGCTTAAATATGTAGTTTTCTTAGGATCCTGCATACGTATGTAGGAATGACAAACGAAACCATGTTCGTTTACATCCTTTTTCTTATTCATTCGCTCATAGATATTGTTATTATTAAGAAGTCGTTAAAAAGAGGGAATAGTGGGTAGCGTGCCAAAATTACCTTAAATGCTCAATAATAAGACGAAGGTGGATGGATGAATGATCATAATTTTCTCTTAATTACCTTCCACCACCACTTCCACCAACTTCCACCTGCCACACAACACAATTGCCAAGTCGCAAGGATCCCTTGCAGACGGTAGATTCATGGAGGAACTACGTGCATATTTACTACCACCAACAAAAGCAGTAGTGGGATACACGATGTGTATTGTGATGTAAAGCAAACTAGTTACGACTGACCCTGATTGGAGTCAGTGTCAAGAGCGTTGGACAAATTAATGAACTTCACCTCATCCTTTGTAAATGCATGGCAGATCGGCCTTGGCAATATATTTGTGATCTTGGTCACAAACAAATCCTTAGACCAACACCTTTCCCACAGCATAAAACGAACCACAACCTCACTTATTTACGTATTAAACAGTATCAAAAGAAATGTTGACGACCTTGCAATTTCGAAATTGTTAGGATTTTCAATCACTTCGTTGTATAATATCAGGTTACATTACGTTGCATGATAATTAGTCATGGACACATTTTTTTTCATTGTAGAATCGAATATCAAATATCATAAAGTACTACCTTATTTAGCGTAAAGTATGTACGCGAGTGCAGTTGTGTAATGGCTTTTTCACCCATGTGAACTTTTATGGGCCATAAATCGAGGCAAAAATTCAATTAAATATCTCCAGCCACCTTGTAATCGATTTATCAACTTCTGATTTGTGAAATCCGCATTACAATAATTTATCTGAGATTAAATCACTGGATTGATTCTTGATTAATGCCCTCGTCTCAGTCCTGTCCAGATTTGTAAATGACTCTGGTGGATCTATTGCGTTAAATTTTACCCAACTCGGTCGGCGGCTTCTTTATTAAAAAGTAATTTTCACGTTTGAAGAATTTTCTTGCAAAAAAAATTCACGACGAGTGGTTACTGGATCGGTTACGTCATGTCGTCATGTAGAGAGAATTTAAGAAGAGGAATTATTTATGAAGTCATGAATGAATTTGTTGGTTAGTCAAAGCGCCTGATGATTCTACGTGTAGTACTTATTAGGTAAATAAAAAGCTATAAATTACCGACTGATTTCCACGAAGTACACGATAACAAGTGGTCAAATCACTGTAATCGAGGACTTGATTCTAATTAAATTTCGTGCACGACTTTTCAAGAATTACATATCGCACTCATTCTCATACGAAACTTTGACCAAATCCGGATCCACCACGCTGCGAGTGAGATATGAAATTGCCTGCTAAATTTGACTGAATTTAGCTATGACGCACCCACATCGCACATTTTAAGAGAAACAATAGCATGACCGAACCTGAATTATAACCTCATTAAGACATTTTTTGTCAAAATTGACGGGCATAATGTGAATTATTTGGATCTGAGCCCACACACGTACATACATCTGCATACATACATATACATTGTAGATCTACATACTTACTTACAACCAGAGCCCGACTACTTAATCTCTTTTGTCACTCTTTATTATATGCAAATCTTTATAAGGATATTTCTTTTCGTGATTTACTGACAATGAGCAAATGATATCTTTTTCTCACTCTCTTTTTGGATTTTATGTAATCCTTTGGAATGCCATTTATTATTTCGTTGTGGGGTTTTACGTGGGTCCAGCCATGAAATACTTGCATAAATACATATGAGAACATGTAATTGTAATAACTGTCTACGTGCATGTACTCACTTACGGTGAATGATTTTGGGGTTTTAGAATTTTACGGCTTTGCTATATGTGCAGATAAATATATTAACCAATCCCAAATTGTAGTGTTTTTTACAACTCTTTACCTTTTGTTGTTCAACCTTTATTTAACCTATTATTTTCTTCGCGAGGAAGAAATTTTGTTTTCCTCTGTTAAGAAGAAATCATCATCGTGCTTCATGTACATGCAACTATGTGTCAGTCCTGTCAATTAAGCCTTGTTTTTTTCTGCTTGTCTTCAACAGGTGTGGGTCCGTTGGGTATGAGCCACCATGTTACATTGAGGAAGACAAACAAGCCGAGTTTCCCGATTGTTGTCCACAAATTACTTGCCCAGACTCGAGCGAAAATAAAGATTACAACTCCATGGAGGAAGTAAACAATGAGCTGGATACGGATGGACGAAAAAATGAGACGGTAAAAACGGAAAGTTTAATGGAAAAGCAGCCTTCCCACAACGATTACTATGAGGATGCCTCCCAGAACAAAGCAAGACAATGGCGAAACGTGAACAGCGGGGTGTGGCTCCAGTCCATAGAGTCGGACGATGATTTAGACTCGTCAGACTTCCAGAACAACCAAGTGGAACAAGAAGAACAGCCACGTAAAGTGTCGCCAAAGTTCTGGTACTGGTTCTGAATACCTGTTGTTAACATTACCTGCACAACCACCTCTGTCGTACCTACAGATAAAATTATTACCTGACCAAACCAGTACTTTCTGGTGTGTATAATTTTTAAGAAGTTTTGACTCGATGTTTTATTAGCTTATTATTACTGCGCGAGATGGAAGGATGATAATACATATCATTTCCAACGCGCGTCTCGTCTTGTGATTTCCTGCAATTCAGTTAGATCTTGTGTAAATACGTGTAATAAGATATGGTAGTTAAGTAGTAGTTATGCCTTATTATAGCACACGCTGATATTACCTACTACTAATTGTTGTAAGGATGCAAATATCTGTCTGTATGCTTCATCAAGTCAAAGAATGCTCGCATATTGTATTAAGTATTTCCATTATTATTGTTATTGCTACAATGTGTTGCTGCTTTTGTTTATGGGTGTTGAACGACGGACGGTGAGTCTGTCGGTGTAATTAATTAGTACATGTTAAGTGTCTGCTAAAAGAGAATTTTAAATGAAGTTTGGTGGTGTGTCCTGTTGTACTTACTACCGCAAGACAGCCAAAGATGAAGAGATTGAATAAATACCTTGCTGTTGTTGTTGTTTACCAAGATACGCACAATGGATATAAATATAATTTGTCCAACACGCATATTTTGCATGTCTGGTCACTGGTGGTATCATGTTCATATTCAATTTGCTTGGCTCACTCACTGTCTGCCTGCAATCGTAAAGAGGGAGATGACTCAATCATCTTTTTGCGAATGACCTCTAATTTTTGTGGAGTTTTTTATACACAGGCAGCCAGGAAACTTTAGTTTTGACAATAACGACAAGCAGCAAAAAGAATATGTTGGTTGGACCAGGTGACATTTATTTATTCATTAGCCATCCATATCATTAACAAGATCTTTATTATGGAAACTAAATATGTGGTTATGGTTATGAGATGTCGAGCTAAATATGTGTGTGGCTATTTCTGGCATACTTTTTCCCTGTTAGGGAAACATTGAATGTTTGAAGGTTGTATTGAGAGAAATTAGTTTTTGTAAAATGCAGGGTTTGTCATATTGTAATCGATTGGGTGCTGATAGTTTTGTGTTCAAAATTTAAAATTATAAAATACTGCATTTTGCTTATGCACTTTCATACGATGCAGAAACCGCTTTTCATAATGTTTGACAATGAGGAACAAGTCAAGGAAGGTCCCAGGAATTTTAACACTGGAGTCCAAGATTAAAACTAAATATTTTCATTTGAATCACAGTCATGAAGAATGTTTATGTACAACACATTAAAATAAAGATTTATCTTAAACCATAGTAGATTTTACTCACTTATTATTTGTGCTAAATAAATGTATAAAGACAAGTGCGCTTTAATTACTACAATTTTATAACTACTTATTTATCATATTATTATGAACGTTTTTTATAAACATCTCGATATTTCTATATATATCTAATCTCGGTAATAGTCGATATAACTAATGACGTGCTTCATAACCTTTTTTTACGCTAGCGGCATTTGCATAGTTGGTGTAGCACTGTACGGTGTCACAGGTCGAGAGCCAGCGATGGATTGTGTATTCAGTGACGCCATTGTTCCCATCTGCAGTAAGGAAATTAAAATTAGCTGATTGAACTAGGTATACGCATTTAATTTTTTTACAGTTATACCCTCAAATGTGCGAAATCTTCCAACTTTGTCAAGTCACATAGCTCCAAGAACAGCGAATACACGGATGCCCATCCAACCGCATTTAAAATGGTGAATAAGAGCCAAGATATGCACATCACAATGTTGTACGTGAATATCATGTCATTCACCACAGCGGCGAAAATAAAGCCAAAAAATCTCCATACGCCAAACACCATCATGGTAATCAGCCATGGAGTCATTTGATGTTCATATTCCTAAAATACCATAAAAATTAAATAAGATTCTCCCAAATTAATAAGTAGGAAATTCACTAAAAGTTTGTAATCCAGTAAACTTCGCAAGTTTTATAAAATTATTTTTCAAGTCTTGGTAAAATAAAAAGGTGTCATTAATTACAATAGATTTTTAAAGTGGCAATTCCTGGCAATTTTTTTTGCAAATTTGTAGATTTACAGAATTTACTGGGTTATAAACATTCGATTGAATTGCTTCATTGCTTGAAATAATTTTCACCGTACATTGCGTAATGCTTGAATCAATTGGAGTGTTGTCAGAAACAAGGCTACTCCTCCTATTGTTGAAAGAACAGCAATACCGATTAAGGAGTTACGCACTGGAAATCAAATCAGGAAATCATTATATTTTTAAAGTTGGGTCTTAAGAAAGTTTTCTGAAAATGCAAATCTCTAACTCGATTCTTACCATGTTTGTTCCCTATGTACACAAAGTCAAAAGATATCAAGTAGTAGCCGTAGTGGACGCTTCTAGGGGCAGCTTCACTTAAGCAATATATGTCGAAACAGGACGTAATTACGGTGAACAAACTGATAAACTACATAAATAAATGGATTTATTAATTCTTTGGATTCTGTTCTGTAATACTTTGCTTACGTACAATTGAGTAGAAAGCAGTGTAAAGGGATAAGCGCTGGACATCGAAGCCGAAGCAGGTGGCAAGTAAGGGGCGTTTGTACCATGGCGTCTGGAGTGATTTTGCCGATCTGGCAGATCTCATCCCCGTGGCGTGGGATCTTGTGGTGGTGTGCGATCTCGTAGCTTGGGAATGGGAGTAAATGGACGGTGTCCCCACGCTGGATGCTCGTTTCATCCCCATTTTGCTGGGTTTATTATGTAACAAGTGAACACAATTACAGTCTTAATTGAAATTTTTATAAATATGAAATTTCAAGATTTTAAGGACATTTTCTAAGCTGGGAACCTGACCACTGCACATTCAGATTTTTTTCCAAGGTTTGTTTTTGTTTTGTTAGTTGTATGGTATCCTTGTACAGTACAGATTTAACCAGATGGAAATGAATTTATTATGTTGAGCGGCACGGTAACTTTTGACAATTGTGGGTTGGAAAATTTGGGGACATGTCATGTGGAAAACCAGCGAAGCGTGAAGCACCATAGGAGAAGAGATTGGATGGGTTGCGTAAATGATACATATAGCGTCCCCACAAACCAAACTATAATAAACTGACAACAGATAATAACAATGGGAGAATCCCTTCACTCTTCTTCTCTTTTTCTGTCGGGAGGAAATGGCAAATTGTATTGTGAATTTTTTAGTATTATAATTGCAAAGTTTTCCACCCGCTTCGTACCCTTGTTTACAGACACGTATAAATTTGTATACTCTCGTGAAACTTTTTTCTTTTCTTTAATATGTCCGAAAATTGTTCCGAAAACTGGGTGCAAACAGTAATAAGATTGTGAAAATTCACATGTTTTGCAGCGTATACATAATAATGTAATCAGAAAGTAGCACGTTCTTGGTTGAGAGACTACTATACAACACGGGCTGATTTTTTGTTGTCAACTTTTAATCAACCTCTTTGCGTAGGTATTCGCATATTAGAATATAGCCGTTCTCCTTTACGGGGGAAGCAAGCAAGAGGTGCTGCTACAATGCCTCATAACACGGCAACGCAAAATAATACACGCTTTGATTGACTCTGTGCGTGGTTAGGACTTATGGCAATAATGCAATTTGAGAGTAACTGTTTAGGCCTGTTAAATCGATACGCACTTACGCAGGTACACGCAAGTTTAGTAAGTAGGACGGTTTTCGATAGCAGCAAATCGATTGAAAATCTACAAATACGTGAAAATATTGTAAACCATGTGTTACATATGTAAGACATACTGATGTGTCAACGCTTAAAAAAGCACTAATTACTATTAATTGACGAGAAAAAACAACGTTAATCTGTCACATATTTGATATTATGTAACTATTATAGGACACATTGTAAAATCAGATTTCCGGAAAATATGCAGATGTGTATGACAAATGAGGAATGCTAGATTGGGTTAACGCGCAATCGACCAAAGCGTCATATGGTTTGTTCTTTGTTCATAATTTGTATGCATTTTTGAACAAAGAATAATAAAAACCAAGGACAATGATAGGTCAATTATTTTTTCAATTGCTTTTGGAATTATACTCTCGAAGATTTATTTATTTCTACAGCACATTCATATTTTTCTTAAGATTGTTAATATTAAACATCACACATGCAGACTTCATTGTGTCCCGTTTTAAAGTCAAATTTTAAAGAAGATACAATTACACTATAATTTACAGATTTGCAAATTTGTTTATGACTCTGATTAAACGAATCAAAAAATTATTTGAATTGACGGAATAGGGAATAATGAAGACGGAATAATTCTGTATAATAATTTGAGGTCTAGTACAGCTATATATAAGTATTTATAAATTGTACGCGTACGCACCACGATAAGTCAGAGAGGTTTTTCGTAGGCAAGAATAATATGTTGCACCATAAATTCTACGATTATATTTTTTTTACTACTGTCGAAGGCGGATATGAATTAACAAAATAATTGCGCTTATAATAACCAAGTCATTGACAAAGTAAGTATATAACATAATAAATATTCGAACAATTCTGTTCAAGTATAAATATTTTCTGCTTGTTCAATGGGCAAAAGCCACAAAATATAGTAGTAATAAAAAATTATATGTATAATGACTTGAAGAAGCAGATCTCATGATACTGATTAAATCACAAATTTTCCCGTAAAGAGTGATCATTTAGGTTGTTTGACTTTTAAATATAATTGGAAGATATAATATAAATCTCAATATTTCCATACTAAGAAATAGATAGATATACATAGAAATTGCAGAGAGTTTGATATAGACATAATAAATTTAAGTATGTATTTTATAATTGGCCACAGAAATCTCAATAATTACATGATTTGATGTGTAGAATCATTTCACAGTCGAATATTAACAATATTATTTTCCTTCATCTGAACTACCCATAATTATATGTTCCATACTGACATAAGTCCCAGCGATGCACCCAACAGTACCAAAGATGATTAGCATAAAATCCTTCACCAGAGACCAGCGGTATCTTCCATAACCAGCATTCCAATTCGTCAAAAGATTAATGATAGGAGGGAAAATTAAGGCTAGTGTAGAACTGCTGACAGCCCCCACTAGTGATATAAATAGTCCAAGATGCGGGATCATTTCGGCCAAAATGACTGATAAAAATATAAAACATTTCCATATAAAATATGTTGTGGTTTAATGGACCTGTCCAAATGGGCAATTTATGATATGATAATCTTACACGTGAGGATGACTAGAAAAGTACGGAAAGCATATTCCGAGATCAATTGCATCTTCTCCGTAGGAATGCGAGACTTTAGATGTGGCCTGAAATTGAAGGAATCATGAAATTATGAAATCGTTCAGGTAGGGTGTAAAGGAAATAAAACCGAAAATCCATACCAAATTATATCTATTGGAACATAAAACTGGAGTGCATAAGAGAGAAATATGGAGAGGGCCATCATCAATCGCACAGATTCAGCCAGTCTATGTACATAAAATTTAATGCATTATTATAGTTTTTGGCTAAAAATCATTGAAAGGTAGACAAACGACTTACACTTCACCATCCGTGAGATTTAATGTAATGCTGCCCTTTACAGTTTCTCCATATTTCAAATAGCCAAAGAATCCCACAGCCGTATAGAGGCAACCAACAATGACCATACTCGTATTCAAGACTCCTGTCCAGCCCCCAAAGTCTTGTGGATTCTTCATTTTATTTTCCAGAGGAAGTACCATTCCAATTCCTTCGAACGCTGAAAGAAACAATGATAATCATATTATATCAAAACAATAGGGATTCAAATAATGAAAGATTGATATATTTCAAATTAATAAGTACCGTAAATGGCAGTGCCAAAGTAGAGCGGAAGTTGCTTCCAAGAAGAAAATCCGACATTGATACCCGTTCTGTTCATGGGTGGCAGAGGGTCGCGAAAAATGTAGTAAAATATGATCGCTAGCCCAACTCCCATGAAGATATTGGCAATCATCGAGAATGGTGCCAAATACTTTAAGTTCTTGATGTAGTTCAATAGAATCATTGGAATCAGCAAAAATATCATGTAATCCCTGAAAGTCCAATCCAGCCCCAAGAGTGGATTCAAGACCTGCATCAAAATGCAGATTCATTAAGATATACTGGAATCCAAGTCGTTTTTCTACTCAAAAGTAAACATTACCTTGAACAAATTTTCTGCTACGAACACAAAGTACACGCAGCAAAATCCCAACTGTGTCACGCAGAGGAAACAATTGATCAGAATTCTAGAGTTGTAAGTAAAGACTGATTGAATTAATATGTAGTTATTAATTTAAATGAAAAATAAAATTACCTTGCATACGGAGCAAACCGCCTTAACCGAGGTGGTCCAACTCGAAATGACTGTTCGTATAAATAATAGTCCAAGTTATGCAAAGGAAAAAAATAATTAAGCTAAGATACTTACCTGTTCAGCAACTTCCGCAAAACTCAATGCCGGGGTTTGTGTCCGTCTGCATAAATCATGAGCACAAGCTACCTGGAAATACCCGTAAGCTTATATTACTTACTATTCATTATAATTTAATAAAACACAAAGATCTATCTAAAACATGCAATAAATTCCTTACTAGAATGTGCATCGTATGAACGCAAATGATGCCGATAAAAACTGTTCCAAGTGTTCCTACTGTCAACCCTGCGTTCTTAAAAGCATCCGGCATCGCTAAAATTCCCGTTCCAATGTTGCCTTTTAGCAAGTGAATCATAGTGTCACAGTTTCTATATGAGGTTACAAAATTGGTAAAATTTTCCAAGAGAATCTTGTCATGAACATTGTATTTCATGTCCTTACGAGGTTGGGTGGTCAACATCCCGCTCAGAAAGGGGGTCATAGTCACCAGTGATGGCATACTCCCGACACCCGACCGGTCTCTGAAGCGTAATGGCCGATGTCTTTGCTCCACCTTTGTACGGACCCTCCGTTTCTGAATCCTGAGAAGTTCCTCTGAAATTTTGAAACATTAAAATCTCAATAAAAATCTCGAACTTATTATCCCGAACTTATTATTGAACTTATGTAGGAATAATGTCCGTCAACGTACGCTTCATGAGAACTATCTGCCTGCAGCAGAAGTGGCTCCGCTTCTTCCTTTCCCCGACTCATGATAAATCGGTTTTACTTAGAGCACCAATAATATTTTCTGAAAACAAATTTAAGAAAATCCGTTTTTAACTTTTTGTAAAACACTTTTAAAAATAAAACACAAATTAAAAGGAGAGGGACACACTACACTTTATGCATACCTGTTGAACTAATCCGCTTAAAAATTTATATGCAAATTCAGCTGATAAGTCGGTGATTATAGGATTAGTGAGAGTATTTCGTTCACAATTAAATTATACTTATGCTCTGCATTTTATGCAAGTGCATGGTTAAATAAAACTGATTGAATTAAACCGTAAACGCCACGCTTACATTTTTCTAATAAAAGCTAAAGATCTTTCATGCTCAATGATAACGACATGAGGAGTGAACTTGAGTGAGCTTTTTTGCCATCTATGTGATCAATGTAATCAAAGACTTTTCCATACGACAAGCTCAGCACGATTTAATATAATGATATGACTCACTAGATTTCTACATGCACAACCATCGATTAAATCCCAAGATCAGGAAATAAATAAATATGTACTTAACGAAATGAGTGTCACAAAGTCAATGCTGAATGTAGATCAGTGTTACCAAATTAAGCACTAAAATTTACTCGCTCACTCGCAAGAATGTCAGAAAAATGAATGAATGTGTCACCACTAAAATGATTAAGAAAAAAACTGCATTTCTATAAAGACATGGTCAAACACGCAATAAAAAATGTGTCCAGGAAAGTTTTCAAGTTTTTATCACCCTACTAACTAATTATAATATTGCGAGAGAGTGAGACTCTGTTACGCTGGTTGTGAAATCTATTATGGAACTTGAATAGACCAAGAATTTTTTTCTTATCAAGGAAGACATTCGTCTTATCAAGTTATATCAGTCATATTATGTATTTCTCAAGATTGTGATATTAATAAGTGATACTCGTCCTCTCACACTTTTCCCTTCCAGATTCTTGTAATGTTTGATTACCTAGTTGTAATTTTCCATTATGTATTTTGAGAATTGTGGGCGTATTGCACACATACGCACACACTCCCAGTATTTAAAGTGGTCAGGGGTTAGAGAATCACACATTAAGACGTTTTACAAATGATGTATCCATTTAAGGGACTGTGCAGAAAGCATGCGATCGGTTTGAGGGGGTTAGGTTAGTGGTAAATGCATCCTATCCTTTATAACATGGGTCACATAGGTCACACCACGGGGGTAGGGGTCAAAATTATCCGAAAATGCTTTTTGTACGGCCCCTAAAGAGACGTAATGTTACTTTTGCGTCTGGAACTTGGTGGTATATATAGAATTATGATGATGATGGTGATGACTGATGACTAATTAATTATATAAAAATAACTGCTAGGTACTAATTCCACCTCATTATATACACTTACATAATAATTCCAGTAATATATGACGACTACATCTACCCCCGACGAATATATTTATTGATCCGATCAATTTGATCGTCTCAATTAAAAGTCTAAACTTTCAATCCCGATTGGAAAGTGGATAAGAGAAATCATTCAAGTGACTGGTATTTATTACACCCTTTGCTTCCAGCCATTGTTCAAACTACAGGGTTTCACTTTATTCCTAAAACCTTTCACAATATGGAAAATTTACTTACTTTACATAGTAATTTTCGAGTTAATTCCCAGAATCAGCTGCAAGGGTTAACATGCGTTAAACGACTGAACAAAAAATCACATTTTGCTTACAACCTGTCAATCCTACATATGCAATATGCAAGGGGATAGAAGAAACCACCTTTTCTATTATATCTTGCTTTGCTTAAACTACGTTAATGTGCTTAAAACTGCGCTTAATGGTTTTGGTGAAACCTCAACTGGGAAAAAGGATTCATAACAAAACAACAGCAATCCAGATCCATAATAAGACTAGCATAATGTATGTACGCAAGAAGACATCCATATGGAAAAGTTATTACAATCGGGAACCACCGAGGAGCGACCGTTCCTGCCCAGTTCTTGGAATTCTCAGATCGAATATGTTACAAAGTGGTATGTATGCAATATTAGATACAGAATACGAGTTTTGCTTGATGAAAAGTGATGAGTTTTGCCATTCGAATTATAATTAACAACAAAGTGAAAGCAGTCACTTACTTTACCGCACCCACGCACGCACCACTTTCACCAGCACCAGCCCAGCCAAATCCTCCCAGCCTTGTTTTTTTTTATCTCATTCCAATAACCATAATAAGAATGGATGTATTACAGCATAGTGGAGAAGAAGGCTGAGTCCTTCCCCATGGTGAAAGTTTGACTGGTGAGTCACCAAGATTTTCTCTGAGTGAAAAATGGAAACCCAGAAATGGAAATGATGACCAGCCAGGACGGGATGTTGTGTGGAGCCTGATGTGAGAAAAGTAGGTAGGAATGGGTCCACTTTCACAGTCATGCGTCCCATAGTGAACAACACATTGTGTGCTGACTATGTTTCCTGGTGGGACTTTCTCCTCGGATGCGAACCATTACGTGGGTGGAGGGCATATAGTAAAAACTTGGTTGTGTGATCTCAAGACTCAATTTTATTGCAAGCTGGTGAAAAAGGAGGATTCGATCGATGGTTTAGGCTGCTGGATGGATGTAGCAACATGACGGGGAACAACAGGTTGTCTCAATTTGTGACCATTTGGTGCATGCAGACAGGTTCCGGCAGATTAATTACTTTCACTCTGGAGAAAATTGAAAGGCGAGTATAACGAGTATTAGGCAGACTTGGTTGCAAAGTAATTTGCAACATGCGAGCAGATCGTTTCGAGTATTAAACCAGATAAGGATAGTTTCAATCTCTCGTGCATGTATGTACGTATATTATTGCATATTGTATATGGTCATTCATTAATGCATACACGATGGTTCAACTGTTGATCATATACTTGGATCGACTTATTTATTTCCCATGCAAAACAGGTAAACAAAAATAATTATTATTACACGGAACAAGTACGGTTGACCCAAAGACGTATTACGTGCCATGGATATAAATAAACATGTTTTTTTCTTATATTATTATGACTAAAAATTTAAAAATTCATCGGAAACTAGAAATAGCACTTGCAGCAGTAGGAAGAATAATTCATGTGGTTGTCGTTGGATTCGGTACCACTACCGGGGCTGGGGGTGCGACAGAGTTTGGTGGAGGACCCGTGTGATACAGGATGACGAGTGCGATTATCAAATAGTACAATCCGATGGGGGCGAGATGGTATGGAATGTTGAGTGGACCTTCTTCATGTTTCAAGATCATCGATGTTGCTGTAATATGAAAGAATAAATAAGTTAATAAGTAATATAAGTGAAATTGCATAATGTTTGAATTTATGACTTACTATAAACGGACCAACCCGTAGAACCCACAAAGAGCAAGAATCGTATCCAATAAACTCTTCCAATAAGAAAATCCAACAAGTATGTAATCGTAACATTGATTGCCATTGGAGCCAGACAGTATCCAAGAACGGATATGTACTGAAAAATCGATCTGCAAAATTGAAATGGTTTCGACCATTAAAAATCTCATACTCTAAATCATTTAAACAAAAAGAAACAGAAAGTCTCTTACGTATTTGTTCTCAACATGACGACATGTGTATAGGTTACTGCTGCGGTTCCAAGGCACACAATTAAAATAATTTGCGGAAATTGGGACGCGTCTGGGTTATAGTAGTTCATTTGTTGCAATATGCTGAAAAGTTATCATAAATTAATATAACTATTTAAAAAATAGAGAAATGCAATTTAAAAATATTTAAGTACGTACAGTCCTATGTAGGTTGCAAAAAACAGAGCACCCCAAAGGTCCCCTATATCAAACCATTATGTTAATTATTAAATAATTAAATATTGAATACACACTTTTTCACAAGTTTAAAAAATCATTTACATTCAACTAGCAAGTAATTTGGATTTTTCATTGGCAACATTGCATTATAAACTTTATTTCCTACAGCAGTCAGGTCTCGTTTCTAGAGAATAGAGAAAATGACATGTTACTGATCAATTTCCAAGATACAATATGCACAATCTGACTTACTATCGTGTCGAATATAGGTTCATCCAAAGTGTTAAGCTCCCCCTCAACAGTTACTTTCTGATTGTTTCGCGTAATTATGTCCCCCTCCAAGGAACCAAAATCGCCCTCCGCTCTTCCTGTCGACTGTAAAATTAAACACCAAGTATAAAACTTTACCACTAATTTAATTCAAAAGTAAAACTCTTTGAAATCAACGATGTCCTTACCTCAGGACCAAAATTGATTCTGTGCACGTCCGGTGAATCCATCTTCAAACTCTCAATGTTTCCAAGAAACACTGGGTCCATCAACCTGCCAGATTTCTGACAGAACTATTATCTATTGTAACACCGCCTGTAACACAAAAATAATAATAATACCAATGAAATGTAAATCGGCACAACAAAAGTCAAAAGCCGATGAACTCATCCAACGTTTTTATCAGAAAACTAGGTTATTATTAATCCACAACTCACTTTCTTCACAAAGTTCCCAAACTTGGTGTTCCCTGAAGGACAAATAGCAATCGACCAAAAAATTTGATCAGCAGCAGCTGTTCACCAACCCTTTAAAATTCTATGACTATGACTGCTGACGTATCCAAAATAATGCACGTCTGCCTGTGAGCAATGCTGTATTCGTTACACGTTGTGAATAAATATGCCCGACTGGAGTTCAGTTTTTGATGATGACAGGACAGCAGGACTGACGGGGAAAATAGTTCGTTGCTAATGTTGATTTGGAAAAAAAGCTCCCTAATCTACTACTACCCGGTCCCTTCCTTCGGTCACCGGAGGGGTGAAAAATTCGGTGAATAAAATTCAGCAGCTGACGTAGAGGCCCTGTGGATGGATGGATAATAATAATGGAATGAAGAGAATGCAGGCACATAACTCGATTTTGCCCATACTGTCGGAATCACTCGTATTACTTAAATTATGAAGAATACGTATGAAATGATAATTTAAAAAAATTAATGCTTATTTTATGAATTTATAGATGATTAAACACCCAATAGTAAATTATTATCGATTTTATACACTTTACGAAATTAGCAATTTATGGGATAAATGAGACAATGGTTTCTAGCTAAAAAATCTAGGGTTTTTTCATCATACGAATAAGTAATAACTTTTATTTTAACACGCTTTCAGACATTAGGGAATTTGACAGATATTTTCAAAAAGTGAAAGATTAAGACCCACCGGCCACCCCATCCGTAATACAGAAACATTTTAAAATCTTGGAAACTCTGAGCCTTCATCCTAATCATCAACATACAAACTGTATAAAATTACAAAATTTCGGATTTTCTCTTCAAAAATCTATTTAACCTGCATGAAAACAAAGCCTTTCCATCACCAATTGATGAATTGTTGAGGGTTCCAGAGTCATGGGAAAGTGCCTGAGATGAGAATATGGCATGGAAAGCATTCGCAGTGAGTTTGCATTTGTGAGGATGGGAGGGAGGGAGAGCGGGGGTGAGGCAGCCAGTGAGAGGCTGTTGCAAAGCACGTGACAGGTCGGAGGCTGGGTTCCGCGATGGGATGGAGGTTGCTCTCCCGAATTCTTGGCATTCTTCTGCCGTGTGCGGCTGGCTCCCTGCATTCCGCTCCAGGCGCACCACCCATCGAAAAAGCCCCCCTTTTCACCACCACCAACCCCACTCACTTCCGGGGCCACGGAATTCTGCACCAAGACCTTCGCCACTTGCTCCGGCAAAAAATCCAGCAACTGAAAATATCAAGTAAAAGACAAAAAAAGTAATAAAATCTACTTCTTCTGAAACAATTTTTTCTATCTATCGTGAAATTTTTTTTCCAACGGAAAAGTTTACCCGTTCTAATAATTTTTTGATAACGTGAAACTATTTCGATGAGTATGGTGGAATATATCGTAAATATGTAACACTTTGGTCATTTGATGATCACATTTATAAAATAACTCTTCTTCTCGTGTGTGTGGAGACGAAAGTGTAAAAACACTTTTTTATTGAAGTGATTGCACTTCACTTATTTTGATAAATCCTGGTGTGGTGGACTTCACCAAAAAGCTACCAAGACGCATCCCTGGTTTGATTCCTGTAAGTTATTTACATTTTACCTCTTAAAATATACATATTTACAAAATCATTGGTGCAGCAGTATACATTTTTTTTATATGGGAGTCATTATTCCTCGTTATATAAGTGACTCGGGCAAAAAAAGTTGTGGCAGGCACGCACACACCGAATTTATGTAGGTGCAATTACGATTTCTATATATCGTTGGTAAATATGCAAGCAAATATTTGACTCGGGACATGACTATGTACAAGTTATGGAATTGCGGACAAATAAATGTAGGTAAATGTGATGTGAGCGTGGTAATTTCTGACGACCCGGAAGTCAACCTCGTGGTGGCGGAGTAGAGATTTGGGAATTCATATGTCGAGGAGTAGTCATGTCTTTTCCGGTGAAAGCAACTTTCTCTCCACACGAACCAACAGGTTACTGATTAATTGATGAGTCTCCTCTCGCTCGGTCGGGGTATTCTCACGAACACGAACGAACCCATCATTTTCTTGCTCCTGCTTTCCTTTTACCTATGTGGATATACCCGATTCATCGGTTTATCATCATACATATCTTGAACTTCTTCTTACTTTACTTCTCGGTGGCTGCATGGTTTGTTTGTTAAGTCGGTGCTTTCACCAGATTTTTTTCTTCCAACTACTGCCATTCACACCAACTTTCTCATCATTTGATTCCCGTTACTCGACGGGATTGCTTGCCTATTGCTCTCTGCAGGGAACATATGGATGGATGGACATCCATATGTGAGAGATCGGCTTTCCAATTAACGAACACTTAGAAAAAATTTTCTGCATCATTGCACATCATCTAAAGTCATATAATCCAATCGTTGTATATTTATTTTTCAAAGTAATTATATACTAATCTATTTTTGACGAAGGTGTCAGTGATGGATTGCAAACATCTTTTTTTATTGCTTGTCGGTTTTATTACTTATCAGATTGATTCAGAAAAACTGATAATTCATTCAATTCTTGCTGATGTACATGAACTCTCCTCTATTTTATTGCTAGCTAGCTACCTAGTATTATTGCTGCTAATTGAAAATTTGTGCGCTTAATTTGTAATTAGTAGACCAACTAGGGGAAAAAACAAGTTTAAGCCTTTGTCGTAATCCACCCGATTCATCGTGAAGCTCTTGATTGATTCTGCGTGGTGATATCGTGTGAATGTCGTCATGATTTCGACTTGGATCTCTAGTTTCAACTTCAATTGTTCAATTCGATATATAAAACACACAAAGTGCTCACACAATTGTGAGGCAGTCTCAATTTCATATGTGCCGACCATCCATCCATCCATGCCTTATCAAATAACAACCGTCGAACGAACCATGCTTTACTTTAAACTTTTCCCTTTACCCACACCAATTTGAGCACATATTCGTCTGCTCAGTTAGCTCAGCCATTGAGGCAAGTGAGATGGTTCATTGGTTTCAACGACTATATCTGATGATGATGTGATGTATGGTGGTGATATGATATCAATTTATAATTGGGGAACAAGAGAGATAACTTGTCATCTGTATGCGGATTGAATTTTGATGTCTCTATGCTGCTGCTAAACTAATACGCATCTAATCTACGATTGCATACTCTCGGATCTCAGAATAATAATAATAATGATGTCCTTCGACTCTTCTCTCTCTCTGTGCATCATCATCATCCCCATCATCATATCAGAGAAGAGTACTGCTGATTTCTGCAGAAAATTTATACCTATAAAACCGCATTTGAAAATTTTTATTATATAATTTCAAATTACTGGCAGAATGAAATCAAGATTTACAAAGTAACTGATTCATGACCAAGAATATGACCAATATTACTGCCGTTAGTGCCGTGGATAATTTATTTATTTGCAACCCGTAAAAATGACGTAAACTTATTTACTGTACATACATACACAGTAGGAGTAGTTGGTACATATGTATGTATACGTATGCATAATAGGTTGATAGGTACGTAGATAGTAGTACTATGTATGCACAGTCAATAAAGGTTGTAAAAACTTGTCTCGATATATATTTCGAAATTTCATTGGAGAACATTATGTTTACGCATTTATTCACTACTGGGCTCCTACTTTGTCGAAGGTTTGGTTGAGAAATCCTCGGAAAATCAAGAATTGGGTAACGAGCCAAAAAAGTTTGAAAGCTATATTTTATGTAGTCGCACTGTCTGTCCTGCTTTTTCGACGAGATAAAAAAGTGAGTTTAGCCAAAAGAGTACAGACAAGTAAGTGATTGCAATAAACAATCTAATTCAGTGTGTGGAATAAACATTGCATAAAATAACTTAAGTTTGGACATGGCCACAACATAACATACTTATAACACCACACACGGGTCAAATTTCCCTGGTTGCAAATATATTGGCAAACAAAATAAGCAGCAACTGTATGAGTAGGTTCTCTCTTTCACTCTCTCTCTCTCTCTCTCCTGTTTACGAAATCGAGCATAATTGAACACGAGAGATAGGACGATGAGCCACCAAAAAGTTTGCTGCTGGTTTCTTCTTTCGAGGAGACGATTCGGGTAGAAAGCCAAAATGCTACTCTCTGAATCAAAGCAACACGTTGGTCCCGTTTTCGGGTTTTCTTCTTCGTCTTCGAAAGAAGAAGAAGAAAAAGCGTGAATTTTGTTTTTTGGCAAGAGTCGAAATCAAAACGGTTTTTCCAAAGTGGTGGTGCTGCTGAATACGATATATGTTGATGCCAATGTGGATTCAATGTTAAATTTCACCTCGCCCAACAACTACCACACATCTGGTGATGACTGTCTTCTTGGTCCCCACACAAAGATTCGAAAGAGCATATTCGGGGAAATCCGGTGACGAACAGACTCTCATCATCTCAAAGGATGTGGAGTCAAGTCCTTGTACTTTGATGATATAAATGCAGGGACAGCTTTCCTACAAACTATTACACGAGATACTTCAAGACAAGGCGGACAAGTGCCAGGCAGGCAGGCAGGCTGTTTACTTGTTGCACTTTATGGCAGTTACGTCGACGAGCTTATTGTGAAGTCAGGCTTATTTTTAGCGGAAAGGAAAGCGTGAGAGATTATGGATGGAGATACGATAGATGCACTTACTACTGTTTCCTACTTTCCATGACGCTGAAGTCAACGGACGTATCTATTTATATGGGGTTGCCCCGCTGTAGTTATTAGTTTCGTTTAAGCTATATGTCCAAATATCTAATTTCCCATCTACGTACGTAGCTACTACAAGTAGGTTGCAATTTATACGTGCTAAATCCACCGAGTCACACCTACTAAAACGGATTAAATTTAAACGGCTTGTCATAATTTCAATTTTGTTGTTTTCTTTCTCCACGCGCCGCCCTGCAGTTGACAGTCAGGGTTAAATTGATGTAGATTAATAATTTTTACATCATCAGTCCTCCCAGTATTAGCAAACTTGACGCTTTTGGCAAACCGTCGGATACCTGCCAAGTCGAATGCCTACTTTGCCGTCATGGTGTACGAGATCAAAGAGAGAGGATCACCTAGAGGAATTATATATTACTTTGTAGTTGAACTTGGATGGAAATAGCAAGGTCATTCATTATGTGAAAACAGTAAAATATTATGAACTTTGGTATTAATTCGCGAAATTTGGTTTCCTCTCTCTCTCTCTCTCTCTCTCCGTCACGCCCAGGGTTAAACAGTTCATAAAGTGCATTATTTTCTCATCGTCGTCATCTAAATATAAGATATCGTATCTACATATAGAAGATGATCTTTCGAGGAGTAAAAGGTTTTGAATTTGTAATGTAATTTACGACAGGA